TCATTGCTGCACACTGAAACGTGTTTTCAGGAACTTATAATGTGATCCCAGAGGTGTCCTTAGACCACCTCCCAAACCAACTCAACCGGGCCCAAGATCGACCCCTAGAAGGTTTCCCACACCGACCCGAAGTCCACTCTCGGCGGCGAGCGAGGGGGGGAAATGAGAAGCAGAAGGCCTTCTCAGAAGGCGGCGGGACTTCTCAGAACCGCTCGCGCCTTCAGAAAAGCTTTCTGTGTCTCCGGGGAAGGCTCAGAACACTTCTCAGAAGGCCCGGGGACTTACGAGCCGTTTGAGAAGGCCTTCTCCTTCTCGCTTCCCCCCCCGGGCGCGCCGCCGAAGCTCACGGAGGCCGACCATCGGTCCCGAAATGATCCCTCAAACCGACCCGACCTTAGAGGAGGAGAAGGATGAGGAGGAGGAGGAGGAGGAGGAGGAGGAGGAGGAGGAGGAGGAGGAGGAGGAGGAGGGGAGGGGAGGAGAGGAGGAGGAAGAGCAGGAGGAGGGAGGAGGAGGAGGAAGGAGGAGGGAGGAGGAGGAGGGGGAGGAGGAGGAGGAGGAGGGGAGGAGGAGGAGGAGGAGGAGGAGGAGGAAAAGGAGGATGAGGAGGATTGGAGGAGAAGAAATTTCTACCTCTCGGGCCTCTACCAGGACTCTTGGAGGGCGCACGTGGGACCTCCTCGGACGCTAACCCTTCGACACAGCACATCGGTCGGAAGAAGCAGGTCACAACATGATCAGTAGGAGGGCGGATGAAGCAGACCGGGGTGCGCCCCCCCCCCCCCCCCCCCCCCCCCCCCCCCCCCAGAGAATGACAACACACTGTAAAAAACACCGATTCTTGAAGCAGGAAGGCGCTTGACGCAGATGGGGCTCTGGGCATCCGGAGGCACCTCCTCCTCTCAACGACCGGCGCGTGACCCTTCGACATGACCTTCGTCTGAAGCTCCGCCGAATCGCCGCTCAACCTCTGTGCGCTCGTGCCGTGCTCCCTGCAGAGAGCACCGGCGTGGCGCCAGACCGAGGCGCTGTCCGCCGGAGCCGAGCGCCGCGGAGGGGCGAGCGCACGGCCAGCGGCCCCGGGGCAGGCCTGCACGAGGGGGCCCCAGCCCACGCCCCTCGGACCCGATGGGGGAGAGGCACTCCAGATTTCGTAATAAAGGGAGGGGGGTCTCATTTCGGGGGGGGGTCTCTTCCAGGCTATCTTGGAGGGCCTGGGGGGGTCTGGGGACGATGTTTTGGAGGGTTCTCCCACGGGGGGGGTCTGAAATGGCTTGTCTTGGAGGGTCCAGACCCCCTCCCTTTTATTACGACATCTGGAGTACACGTCGTTCATTTCGAATCGTGCTCGCTTCGAGCTCTGCTCGTTTCTCATTGTTCCTGGCCCCCTAGTGGCCAAGGCCCAGGATAGAAGAAATAGAAGTGAAAGGATCTTGGCCCCCCGAAAAAAAAACAAAGACCTCGAAGAATTGGAAGTGGACATTGTGTACTTGCAGTGAAGGCCAGTCCACAATAAACCTCCCACAAGAAACCCAATCCTGAGACCCCAGGGCGTCCACTGATGCTTGGTGAGGGAACGTCACGCTTTCCACAGCAAAACCATCGAAACCCGAGAGACCCAGGGCACCCTGGAGGCGAGCAGGGTGATCTTGGCATGGGCCCCCACTGTATGGAGTTACCATCAGGCGATAGGGCGCCTGAACCCAGGGAGAGGTTCTCCAGTGCTGGTGGGCTGATCTGGCCGCCCCTTGACGCCCTGTACGGGCCGCCATGATGCAGCATCATGTGTGGCGAGGAGGAGGAGGAGGAGGAGGAGGAGGAGGAGGAGGAGGAGGAGAGGAGGAGGAGGAGGAGGGAGGAGGATGGGAGGAGGAGGAGGAGGGGGAGGGAGGAGGAGGAGGAGGAGAGGAGGAGGAGGAGGAGGAGGAGGAGGAGGGAGGAGGAGGAGGAGGAAGAGGGGGAGGGGGAGGAGGAGGAGGAGGAGGAGGAGGAGGAGGAGGAGGAGGAGGAGGAGGAGGAGGAGGAGGAGGAGGAGGAGGAGGGGAGAGGAGGAGGAGGAGGAGGAGGAGGAGGAGGAGGAGGGAGGGGAGGAGGAGGAGGAGGAGGAGGAGGAGGAGGACAGGGAGGAGGAGGGGGAGGAAAAGGAGAGGAGGTGGAAAGGAGGAGGAGGAGGGAGGAGGAGGAGGAGGAGGAGGAGGAGAGGAGGAGGAGGAGGAGGAGGAGGAGGAGGAGGAGGAGGAGGAGGAGGAGGAGGAGGAGGAGGAGGAGGAGGAGGAGGAGGAGGAGGAGGAGGAGGAGGAGGAGGAGGAGAGAGGAGGAGGAGGAGGAGGAGGAGGAGGGGGAGGGAGGAGGAGGAGGAGGAGGAAGGAGGAGGAGGAGGAGGAGGAGGAGGGGAGGAGGAGGAGGAGTGGGGGAGGAGGAGCAGGAGGAGCAGGAGGTTGAGGATTTGCACGCCACTAAGGGGGGGGAAAGAGAGAGAGAGAGAGAGAGAGAGAGAGAGAGAGAGAGAGAGAGAGAGAGAGAGAGAGAGAGAGAGTCCGACGGGTCCAAAAACCCTAAGTGGGGCCCATCGGAGAGGACCTTTTTGTCACCACGGTGCGGCTCGGCATAGGCTGCGCACCGTGGGCCAGCGACAGAGCCCCCTTAGGACAAATCTTCGTCGAGCTCGGCAGAAGCAGCAGGTCGGACACGGAACTCTCGTCCGAGCTCACGGGCCTCCACCCCATTCAGCCCAAAAGCCTGGAGACAGTCAGCCATGCAGAGAGTGGCTGTTCCCGAAAACTGCTGGGCTCTCGAAGTCCAAATCGTCGGCTGGGACCCCAAACCTCCTACCAGGAACCGAGAACCGAACAGCTCGCGAGCCAGAGCCCCAGGAGATCTCGGGGGTCCTAGCCGTCGCGCCCGATTCGGGTGCTTGAGCTTAAAAAAACCCGACGTGTTCTTCTTACCAGGGCCGACTAAATAATGAGCCGAGCCCTGGCATCCAGAATGCAAGCCCCTGGAACCTGTGACTGTCGTTGCGTAGCTGCCACAGGTGGAGCAAAAGAGGAGGGGTGGGTGATCCTCTCCCTCCTCCGAAGACTCCACAGGAAACTCCAGCAGGCAGTGGCCCCCCGCCTTCCACGGCTGCGTGCCTTCGGACGCCCTATCCAGGAATCTCTCCAGCGAGGCGGCAGCCGCAGGGTCAGGGACCGTCGGGGCCTCAACACGAGGGGGGGGCGCAGCTGCCTCATCCTCGGCCCGAGCCCACTCGAGCCGAGCGTCGTAGTCCGAGGGGAGATCCAGGGAAACCAAAGACAGGCCCTGGGCACCTACATTGTCGTAGACCCCCAGCTCACTGTAGTAGACTTCCGCACGCGTTATAAACTGCAATACCTCACGGGCCAGGTACAGGCAGCCCTTGGCCAGGAGGGTGTCACATTCATCGTGCTGGACAAGCGAGGCCCCCAGCTTGGCCAGCCTATCTGCACCATGGTTACCAGCGCGCTCGAAATCTGACAAGAGGCCGTCTCTGACATCCTTGGCCGAGGCGTGAGCAGGAACCTTCTTAAACCTGGCCCCCTCAAAGCCTCCCGAAGCCCAAGACTGAATCCAGAGGTGGGCCCTGGGGTTAGCCGAGGAGACCGAGCGCGCTCTATTTTGACAGCAGTCGAGCGTTCCCTTGCAGTCTGAGTACAGAGTAAAACGCCAGCGCACAGCTTCGAGACGATAAAAACACTAGAGTCCTCGCCGTCACGCGCCACCTGATCAGGCAAGGTGGCTGGGGGCACAGAACCAGACCACTCCGCTATACACCTGCGTGACTCATCGAAGACGGTGACTCCCCATCCAGCAACACTCATGGACGGGAACAGTCCATCTAGGCCTGAACCATCACAGAAAACATGCCCCTTGGAATGCATGAGCGGCCCAGCAAGGCCTCCGTCAACGCGAAACTCCGTGGAAGGATCCCAGGGTTTCCTGGCCAGAAGCTGGCACGGGTCAGGAAGGATTCCTCGGGAAAAACGCTCTTGCAGCTCGATACTGCAAGTCGAAACTCTGCTGGCTGCGCGCTGCACACACACGGGAAGATTGTCGCGGCGCCAGGCCGACCTAGCCTGGCACTGAAAGTGGCGATGGAACAAGGTGCCTCGCTCACCACACACCAGGCATTCTGACGCCAGCTCAGGATCATGCTCGCTGAGCCTGTGCTGGCACCAATGAGAACCCATAAGGAGTCCTCGGAGCGTACGCTGCTCTCTGACTCCCCACGGACCACCCGCCCCAACCGCCTCGTCCTCCCCGTCGATCCTTCTATGCAGCAGCTCATTCAGCGGTCGCCAAAAAAGTTCTGCGCGCCAGGCCTTGCCTGGTCCGATTTTGCCCAAGGCCGCTAGGTCCGAAAACCTTCGCGCCGAAAAACGCGCACGCCTGGCCATGAAAGCGGCCGAGACCTGAGTCAGGTCCCAAACCTGTCCCTGGGCCTCCTGCACCGAGAAAGGTCCCTGGAAGACAAACCCGATCCTCAGGCAGGTTAAGACCAGGGCGGACACAGGGTCCTTGACCAGGGTCCACGGCTTCGGCCTCTGGGCGACCTCCTGGGCCTTCGCAAACAAAACTGAAAGCACGCGCTCTGACAGCCTGCCATCCTTTAGAATCTGAACATACGTCTTGATCGCGTCAGCTGAGACCTGCACCGAGGGATCTCGCGGCCAACCCCCACGCGTGCACATCGAAGCCGATCCGAGCGAGCATCCCTTGGGCAGCCTCCCCTCGGCTTTGACAGCCGCAACTCTTAAACTTTTCAGCTTTCCATCAGGCAGCCCCTGGATGTTGGCCCCCCAGAGAGCCTTGGCGGTGATCCCTGCCCGAAAGACTCCACCCGTCGGGGCTCCAGCCTCACGGAGGCTGAGGACCTTGGCCACCTTGGCCTGGGCCTCCAGGAAACGGGCCTGGTGGGTCGACACTCGCCGCCTTGCGCCATCCGTCGCGTCCCCTCCAAGGTCGCGGTGGACAGACGACCTGGCATCTTCAGGGAGCTGGCCGCTCGAGGCCAGCTGGTTGGCCAGGGAGGCTGACGACGCCCGGAGCCCAAGCTTGCTCCAGGCAGTCGGGAGGCCCCGGGCCTGGAGGTCCTGGGTGACAAGATTGAACGCCGACGAAAGCTCAGTGCACGCCGTGGCCTGGCCTCCGATGGACTGGAAAGAAATATCATCTATGACACTTTTCAAGGTAACAGTTGGGCACGTCGATACCGCTCTGCGCAGCACCGACACGAGCAACATGCGAGCGAGCGAGGTGGCCCCCGAAAAGCCAGCAATCACGGTGCCATTCGGCGAGGCGATTCTGGAAATCGCCCCTTGCCAAGACACCCGCCTCGGGGAACGGTAAACCGTGCAATAGGCCCTCAAGAGGGCCTTCGGAAAGGCCACCTGCTCAGCTGCCGCAAGTAATTCAGCATGGCTGATATGCTCGTAGAATTTGCGAAGGTCCAGAAACAAGGTACCCGAAACTAAACCCCGAGTTTCCCGAGCAAATGCAGCCATAGCATTGTGAACCCATGCGCTCTTGTCGCATGCAGTGGACGTGCTCAAACCCCCCAAAAAATGCTCGTCCAGCTCCCTTTCCCACGCCGCGCATCTGGCATGCCGAATCCTGCTCCACACTCGGGACCAGAGGGGAAGGAGGCCAATAAGCCTAACCCCCCCTGACGGCTTCGCAAGAAACGCGGCCGCGACGAGCCGCGACGGGCCCACCGAGGGGTCCCGTTCCCAGGCCGTGAGGATATCGGCGAAGGCCTGGACGAGCGCGGGGGAGACCTGAAGAAGGAGCCGGGGGTGAACGGAATCCCACCCCAGGCCCGTGCCTGGGGGAAACGACTTGGCAGCCGCAAGGACCTCCTCCGAGGTAATCGGCGGCGAGCTATCTTCGCACCTCCAGTCCCAAGGCGGGGGCTCGCCAGCTCGATTATCCTTGCACCAAATCGGCAACCACTCTTGTAAAGTCTGCTGCAGTGCGGCATCACCTACTAGGGGAACAGTCACCCCTTCACCAACTTCAGCCAAGACGGGCTGGGGAGGCGCCGAGGGGCCCTTCGAATACCTGTGAGCG